GTTGGGCCCTTGGGAAAGGCACCAATTTCCTCACTCAACTCAGGTGAAAAATTGTACCTAGCTTTGGTTAGGGACATCCTCTCAGATGGTGCATAAAGACAGAGGCCCTGTGTTTGATTGCAGCGACATTCAAAAGAGCACGTATCAATCCTGGTGTTAGTGATTGAAACTTAACAGTCTGTGGTACTTGGTTGACATCTTGAAAAGGTGAGAAAGGTAGCCACTTAATATGTCAATCCTTCCACAAATGTGGCTCATATCAAGGACATCAATAAATAAGTAAAGGAACTGACTTGCAGACTTGAGAGGCACGATGAGGGTTTTAATGGTGGTCCCCTGGGCGATGTTGGTAGGCTCTGTCTCTGCCAGAGTCAGGATGTCCACATTCTTCTGGTCCACAAAGACAGTGAAGTCCTCATGCAGTTTCTTCAGGGTAGCATTGTCTGTACATAATGGGGCAGAAGTTAGGAACTACAATTGTATCAGTACTTATAGTGCATCGATATGTTATAAGCTGATTGGGGTATGTAGATTTTAAGCTCCTTCATTTGCCTTAACCCTAAAGACTGGTGTTACATTCAGTGCAGGTGGCGGTAGGAAAAAGGATTGGAATCAACAGAGAACGTTGCCTGGATGCCTATACCTGAACAGCCTTAGACAAAAGAGACAAGTTTAGGAAGGGGGAAGAGCATCCTCTGTAGCTACTGACGACTCTCCCTTTTTGCTTTCTGTGGAAGAGCCGGGGGTAACTATGGAGAGTGGCATTCAGGCTATAGAAAACAACCATATTAAGTTCACTTGTCAAAGACACATCAAAAAGAAAAGCACCAGTGGTGATGTGTACAAAGTAAAAAGCCTGAATGAGCAATACACACGAGTCTCAATACTTCAAGAAATTGAAAGCAATGGATGTCATTTAATGCAACAATCTAGTATTAGAGAACAGCCCTGATCCAAGAGCTGCTGTTTGGTTTAGAACCTAATCTTCAAGCAGATGTTTTGGTGGCCGCAAATGACAGTACTGTATCAAATTGGCCAGGCAGTATCAATTGGCCAATGGACACTACTCTGGTCAATGGATACTGCCTGGCCACCGTATGATCTATCTGGAGATTATTTAGAACCTACCATGGCTGAGTTCTCGCACCTCCACTGAGGGGAAGAGCAGGTAGCGTACTTGTGTGGAGTAGGCGGCCAGGCTGGAGCCGAAGTGGGGCGTGCTGTAGAACAGGATGCCCTTGGTGTGATCGGCAAGGTCACCAAAACTGCTGTCCTGTAACGAGTCTGTCAGCATCTTCTTCACCAAGAGTCCTACAAGTAAAGGCACACAATGAATGGATTCTGTGTATCACAATTAGCAGTTCAACCAATGAGAGAACAGCAATTAGTAGTTTGACCAATGAGAGAATGGCATTTAGAAGTTTGACCAATGAGAGAATGGCAATTAGTAGTTTGACCAATGAGAGAATGGCAATTAGCAGTTTGACCAATGAGAGGATGGAATGGATCCATCTCCGTCAAATATTTGCACTTTTATGTTTTCATCTGGAGGCATGATGATGATGATGATGTTTTCATCTTGCTGTGGTCCGCAGGACACGGGGGAAGGAGGCCGGGAAGACCACCCCTCACCTACCCAGATGTGCTGAGAAGGGACGTTGGCCTTCGGGCCGAAGACATGGGGAAGGTGATGGAGGACAGAGACTACTGGGCAGCCATTGTGGTTCGGGTGGCAGAGGAAGAGTGGCACCCGACTTAAGTCAAGTAAGTCAAGAGATGGGGAGGGCAATGGGATCAGTCTACATTTGTGCTTTATGTAGAATGCACCAACGACTCCTTATGTCAAATTTGATCAGACTAGCTCCAAACTACATGGAACAGTTGATTACAGAAGACATGCTGGCCCCCATCTAGAGAAGCTTCTTGCGATTACATTACTAACCAATTTACTAGTACATGTATCCATGTATAAAACTACATATTTATAGGCTACAAAGGCCTACGGGCTAGTCAAGGAAATTACACACATATATATATATATATATATATATATATATATATATATATAT